CAGACGGGGCAGTTTTTGAACATTTCCCGCGAAATTCATTAACTCAGGGGGGGGGGTGAAAGATACCCTCTCATAACTGCTAAGTATTTTTAATTCTTGTCTAGATTATACGGAAGAATAAGGAACCTTTATTCTTCCGCAAATATATCCATAGGATTAGATCCATGGGCACTAAGTCAGGCGGCCTCGGCGGCCAACGACTCGGATCTTGGTTAGCTATCCAATTATTCTTGAAATTGGCTACAAAAATTTGCTGATAACTTTACCGTTTAGAGGCGATGCGTCGTCTTGCTGGAAAAATATGTTTTCAAGTTTCATTAAGTAAGGGGTCCAAAGCCTACTAATTAAAAGTGGCGAACTTTTAAAAATTCTGTATTTCGAAGGGGATTATGACAAAATATCAAGTGTGCTATATTTTTGGAAAGGTAATTTTAAATTCTTTTCATTTAATTAAAAATATAGAGGGTGTCCCAAATAAAAAATCAATTTTTCTGTTGATAACTCTTAAATTATTAATTTTAAAAAAATTATACTTAAACCATTAAATTCTACGTAAAAAAGTACTTTGGAAATGTTTGTATAGAAATAAAAAATTTTCCATAGCAAAAAAGTTACAACGATTTGTTAAAAATGCACATTTTTGAAAAACACCTCGTAACTCCGAAACGGTAACAGATATTGATGTGCGGTTTTCACCATCATGTTTTTGATGAAAATTAAGCTCCAGACACCGATATTAGTTTTCGTCTATCTTCTATAGAAAAGGGTGTTTCCATTTAAAAGCGTCGAATTTGACCCACCCTGTACAGAGTTCGGCAAAGAAATCAGCAGACGAGGACTACTTTCAAATTTAGTTTTTTTTGTAAAAAAATATGTCATTCTATTTCTTAAAAGATTATCTGTTAAATGCCGATCATTTTGCGTCTAGCATGAATCAATCCCTATGCCCCAGCTATGATGGAAGGCTGTAAGTGTGTCTCGACTATTTGCTATTATTATGTAAAGTTTGTAATGCTGTGCGTCATAAATTTAAACCTTAACGTCCTGTACCAAATAAATAGAATAGCTAAGATCAGGTGATAAGTATATGGCAAAACGCAAACATCAGATTTCCCTAACGGACTACAAAACTTTTAAATGCAGTTTGCTTCGTGCAAAACAAAATTTAGTAAAATTAAAATTAAATTTAATTTGTAAACAGGCAAAGTTAATTGTGAAAATTATGTCGTTTGGTAATAACCATTAAATATCTAACAATTTTGTAAAATTATATTATTTTGTGAAATTATGCAAAAATACTTGATTTTTAAAAGTGGCTTCCTAGAAATTCTGTAATATCCATATTATTTTTTGCAAATTTGCTTATACTTTTTCAATATAGGCATCACGTAAGATCTTTAGACGATCTTTCATCTTAATTTAATTCAAGTAAAACTTTTTTTGTCTACACATAAAGTTTTACTCGACACGTTTTGACTAACAGGTAAGTCTGAGAGGTAGAACCTTATGTGTAGACGGGGTTTTTGGTAAGAACATTAGTTCAGTACGCTTGATGACACTGTAGCTAAATCTTTACTCGTCTTTATTGTTAATTAATTCACCTACTTTTCACTTGTTCCATTTAAGTAATGACATTTTACCAAATAAGCAACTTTTTATTAAGACTATTTACGTAAATAAAAAAAACTAGTAGATGCACTTAAGGCCAATTAAGTGCAAAATGCGAATTCGTTGAAATTGTTTTTTCACTTCACATTAAAATCTATCACTTCTAATTTAAGATCTCTAAGTGACTTGCTTGTACCGATAACAAATTAATTAAACATTTATAGAAAAGATTTCGTTAGTAAAGTGAATGGAAGAATATCCTTATAAGAGTTTAATAGCACAGAAACTTTTTCTCTTGATACTCTGGCTGAAAATACGAGTATATTATCAAGTAACATAAAAAAATAAGTCTCTCATAGACATAGTTATATTCGGGAAACTTCGACAGCCTTATTCTACAGATAAAAGTAAGAAAAACCTCAAAATTTAAGTGAGGATGCAGTCAATAATCACCACACAGGCTAATAAAACTACTTTTTCAAATTCGTCAAGCTTTCGAGAATTTTATTCCCATCATCAGGGCATTTTATAAATTCACGAAAATGTATTAATTCATTAGGCATTGACTCGTCTAAATCATTTGGATAACAGGTTATTAAATGTCTGGACCAATGACTAAAGAATCCAAGGACAAATAACGCCCGAGAGCAAATTGTGACGATGTCACCAAACAGTGCCGTGACACATATTTTTCATAACCTAGCTGTTTGAAGCAATATTTATATTTTTTGATAATTGTTTTGACTACGCCTATGGTGTATCATCCTAATTAATTACGAAAAAAACGTATTAAAATGTTAACAAAAGGTACAAAACTAGTATCGACGTATAGCACATATCAAGTACATATAGATGTTAATTGAAATTGAAGAATAATTATCGAATTCAATAAGAAAACGCTGAAAAGTTGGAGTGGACTGTTTATTTACCTATGAAACGTAACGCCTGGCTCTTTCTTATCGCTGCTGCTTTTACACTTGAAAGCTGAACAACTAATCACCATTGTAATAAAGTTTATACAAAGTTTACTACACACAAACTATTAAAAATCGCTAAAATTGTCGCTGGTGACCAAATGATGACTCATTGTTTGCCACCAAAACAAAAAAAAGGTCACAAATTCTGCTGCAGCCCGTGTAGGGGCGTTACATGTCCTTATATTCTTTAGTCATTGGTATGGACATATCGGTAATGTCGTCAATACTTAAAGTAGATAAATCGCTAAAGAAACCAAATTTGGTTGAAAAGTCATTGTAGGCACTTTTCCTGTAGGAAAAAAAAAATATCAAGGATTAATTTATCAATAATAACATTAAATACATTTATCCTAAAATCGTCCCTAGCGTTAAATAGAGTTTCATTATTACTGGTTTCATCAAATTGTCGTTTCCGTTTCACTTTTCTCTTTTTATCTGCCGCATATTCTTTCTCAGCGAACAATTCTATGGCCCTTCTTATGCCCTTCTTTTTTTTGCGGCGATTTCAAAGTAAATGGAGACTTTATATTCGAGGTATTTATGTATTTATTAACTGGATGCATGGCACAATGCAGTAAAAAATAACCCAAGCGAATTATATATTTAAACAATAATAATAGTTAAGTAAATAAATATGTAATCGGCTAAGGCTATATTCGAAATATTTTATGAACAAATAAAAGTTAAAAAAAAAGATAAATATTTTGGTATGCTCAAAATTTGCCGCCCCTAAAAATCTGCCGCCCCAGGCCCGGGCCTAATTGGCCTAGGCCTAAGTCCGGCACTGCATTTCCGTCGTTTCCGGTCATCCGGTTTACTTAAAAAAGGCCTCTTGGTAAAAATCGTTACGACTAACCGTTCTCAAGATATTTCGAATGTAACAACTGTCAATACATGATGTCATTATTTACAAAAAATAAACATGTTAACTAGATAGTTATTTGACTGAAATGATAAATCTGGCAACATATTATTTTTTTAATTTAATAATATTCTTTGCTAGAAAAAATTATGACGAAAATTTCACACCTCTACTTTTCAACCAATAACATGCTTTAATGTTGACTAGTTACCATGGCAACTGAAAAAATTTCCGGAAATTTTTTCGAGGCGCCACGAAACTTTAGTGGAAATTTTTTGACAGTTGAAAAGGTAAACATAAGATCTACAATCATAATGTGAATGAACTACAATGTCTATATATTGAAATATTACCCATTTGAGTTTTAGCATTTGATGTAACTAAGGTTGGTAATATTTTTTATTTAAGGAAATATGTTAGATATACCTACATATGAATTTCTTCGAAATTGCCATGTTCTAAAAAATATAGTTCTGCCGCCTTTATTTAACTAAAGCTGAACTACAATGAACAGAATCGCAAACAAAAATGACAAAAACACATAATATGTCAAAAACATCAATACCTTGGCCAACTTAACAAATTGAAATTATTTTAAAATGTCATGTTGGATTAATATTTTTTTTTCAAATTTAGGTGTGAAATTTTCTTACCGAATACCACGCAAGCTTAAATTATTCCTGGAAATTTTCTTTCGGGCACGAATATTTTAGGAAAATTATCCCTCGTCTTCGACTCGGGATAATTTTCAAAATATTCGTGCCCTCAAAAAAATTTCCGAAAATAATTTAAGCTCTTGTGATATTATAAGTGATTATTTTTTGTCAATAATGACATGTATTGATAATTTACATCCCAAATATCTTCAGAACGGCTAATCGTAGCGATTCTTACCAAGAGGCCTTTTTTACGTAAAAAAAATCACGGAAATGAATATTTTTTCACTCAGTAGTTTTATACAGGTACAGACAAAAAGTTATTACTCGTCAAACCAGTCAAAAAATATGTAGGTGGTGCCCCCTACAAGTAGAAGTCGTATTATTGACATCGAAATAAAATTGCTCGTGTAAAAAAACATCCAGGCACCAATTTCCATTCAAATAATGGAATTAGTTCAGCAATTATTTGGGAAAAAGCGAAATAAAAATGAAATTTCTACACTTTGTAGCTCCGAAAATCATTTTAGAAGATTAATTTATACGAACATTTTTACTTATTTTTATCTGTAGAATATGCTGCCGAAGTTTCCAGAATACAATTCGGACCACCCTGTATCTTAAATTAAGAAATTCGCGGTTGGATTCCTTTTCTCAATCACCTCAATTCTCAACATGACTCCTTGGTGTACGTAATTTAAATGTTAATATTGTTTTTCTACGATCGAAAAATAAGAAAAACTTATTTCTACTGTTTCTGGACTTTTTTACGTACAAACGGTGGATCTATTGAATTGTGTTACCATTACGGTAGAAATTGGCAGAAAAAAATGCAGATATAGAGAAAAACTGAAAATTTACATGGCAGCTCTACGTTTTCGTTAGACAACTTCTTACCTAAGTCATAATAACTACTTCGTCTTCCAGCCATATTCCTCGAAATGTACTGTACTTCATCGATATCAGCGTAGTCTCCGGATACGTCCAATAATCGGCTGTTTCGTTCCCTATCCGGCAGTCTGCTGTTACCACCAGGGACATAAAAAAACGACGTCGAATTGGCTTCTCCATAATCTACACCGCTGCCGCTTGAGCCATCGTAGGGGAGCGAAGGGCTAGATGACAATTCCATCGATTCCAAATGTTCTCGGATGTAGGCGTAGTTTTCCAAATCCCATGGATCGATGTAGGATTGTTTGGGGAGAAGGGGAATGTTGTGATAATCTCGCAAGGATTCTTCGCTAAAAAAATAAAGAAATAATTATACATCGTTTGGTAACTCGAGGATGCCTATTTACTATAATTATGCTAATATCTTCGGTCTGAAAGAAGATATCAACATCCGGTTTTCGCTGTCTTTTTAGGCTTTTATTACTCTTTACTCTCCGACTATCGCATTTATTTTTTTTAGAAAAACGCGCAATGTTTGTTAAATAGTAAGACAGCGCCCCCTAGCGTCTACGTTTTAAAGCTTATTATTATTATTTTTATGGAATAATATACATTAAGTAACGCTCTTTTAAACGAGCCCTCGCTTGTTGGATTCTGATCATCCAGTCCGGAGTTATTAACATTTAAACAGAAACAGACCTAACCTTCCCCCACCACTTTATTTAGTACCACTTATCTAAGTAAAATGTTACAAACATTCTATTTTCTTATTTTCCATAGCAGTTGCGCCCTCTAGCGGCCGTTCTACAAACTTGAAATTAATTTCCGGCAATTTCTCATAGCCTCTTTAGTTATAAATATTTTTTCCGTATACCCTACGCGGCTAATACTTTTCGAGATACAGCCGAGAGCTATTGGAAAAAAAATAAATGGGAAAATACGAAAATAGTGATAATTTAATTTGTTTGTTATGTTTCTAACTTTTCATCATTGGCAAAGAGTTTTTTTACTAACCTGTCTGAATCTGGTGTGTTCCAATATAGATCTTGATGGGGTCTCATCTTGTCGCGTTAGTCATGTAATTGGACCTGCAACAAATATATCAAACATAAGTGTTGAGATTTTATTCAATATAGATCATGTTAAGCTCTCATTTTGTTACGTCAATTATGTAATTGTCACTTAACTAATTGTTTTATACAATTGTCTATAACAATAAATATATAAAACTTATACGTTAATGGGTCTTACGAAAGCGTAGAGCTGCCATCCCAACAATGAAATATAATTTTAGCAAAATTTACACTTTCTGTAAATTTACAGATTTTCTGTAAATTTACACTTTCTGTATGTGTTAAATTTACACTTTTTCTGTAAATTTACAGATTTTCTGTAAATTTACAGATTTTCTGTAAATTTACACTTTTTCTGTAAATTTACACTCTTTCTGTAAATTTACACTTTTTCTGTAAATTTACACTTTTTCTGTAAATTGCATGCGAAATTTACTACCCAGCAGAATGACGTCTCGGCATCGACCTGCTCGTTACTCACTAGTTACAAGTGAGCATTGTTCTCCGCTGATTAAGTTGCTATTGTGCCTATGTAGTACAGATATTCATCAGAGATTATGGACGAATACATTAAAACCTACTTTCATATCGGATTAAGTCACAAAGAAATTTTGACATGTCTGCTAGAGGATGGTTATGCCCTAAGTTTACATCATTTGCAGACGACAGTTTACGTCATCCCAGAGGTGGAGGCCATCAGATCCTCTTGCAAACAGTAATGCATCGGAAAGGTGAAAATACTTTCCGGGTCGATTAAAAGCATATTAGAAAACATATTAAACAAAAAAATGCCATACTATTATATCACACACATTCGAAATTTAATACATAATCCCTAAAATAAGAGATCACCCGATTTTCTGTACTATGTTAGACCCAGGTTCAGTATAGACGATGAGGAATAATTCTTCAAGTATTTTTGAAGAGAGTGTGGTTTCAGAACAAAATATATCTTTGAATATACTGGGATATTGCTTAATCTTTTCATATAGTCCGCATGTCTTCAATCCTTCAATTAATTGCCGCAGTGGTTCCCTAATTCTGTCTTTACTAGTAAAGACTTTTGTGAATAAACTGGCGTAGAACAGAATTCGATGGGAACTACTCGTAGAATAACGCACCACTGCACAGTGTTGCACCTTATAGGGGAATTGGGTCAAAATTCATATTTTGAAAACAAACTAATATTAATTATTGCGACTATTTTTATTTATTTTGTTTATAAGAGAGCCAACTTTTGCTCCAAAAATGATTGCAAAATTGTCATCCCCTATGCGAGGGTGTCATCCCCCAAAATTTTTCACATGGAAAGAGGGCCAATTTATACCTTATTGAAAAGGTCTTTTATTTACCTAAATATTGGTGTATAGTTCTCCAAAATCGATAAGCCCCTATTGAAAATATGGAGGTTTGAAATATCAATAATAAGGAAAAAAATGCAAAATAAATTATATCAAGAAATTTGGAAGGTTTTTTAAACAAATTTTAAAAATACGTTATTTTAGGGTAAAATCCATAGAGAAATCTTCAACATTCAAGTGGGGGTATCATCCCCCAATTTCAAACCCCACTATTTTCCTAAGGGGTTGATTAATTTTTAAAAAATAACCAGCATTATATAGATAAATTAAAGTTCTCTTAATAAAATATTACTTGACCACTATTTCCATTGGAAATAAATTGGGGGATGATACCCCCACTTAGAGGGTAAAAGAATTTGCTATGGTTTTAATACATTTGACGTATTTTTGAAAATGTGCTAGAAACTTAAAAAAATATATTATAAATTTAAAAATAAATATTTGGCATTTTTGGTATAAAATCCTAAATTGAAAATAGCAGAGGATTTCTTTAAAAATAGAAAATTAACAAAAATCACAGAAATGCGCAAAACATGATGTATATTATTTTAATTCTACAATATTACAGTTGAGGGTTGGAACCTTTGGTGTTACACAGCAAAATAAAAACACTAAATCAGCACAATACACCAAAACACTTTTACTTTTACACTGGACGCGCGTTTCGCTAACCATGTTAGCATCATCAGCAGATGATTATAAACTGAGTTATTATTTTACAAGTTATATTTTATATTACTATATTTATATATATATATATATATATATATATATATATATATATATATATATATATATATATATATATATATATATATATATATATATATATATATATATATATATATATATATATATATATATATATATATTATATTATATTTTATTATTACAGTTATTTTTTTTACAAGTTACCCATTTTACCCATTTTATATATATATATATATATATATATATATATATATATATATATATATATATATATATATATATATATATATATATATATATATATATATATATATATATATATATATATATATTATATTATATTTTTTTACAAGTTATTTTTTTTTACAAGTTACCCATTTTTCGTATAACATGCTGTTGGGAATAGCAGAGGATTGTTCTAAAAATAGAAAACTAGCAAATTCCGCAAATCTCCGCAAAAATGATTATTATCATTTTAAACTAAATTGTTTAAAGATTTTATTCTCAAAATTTCTTCGGACTATATTGATATATTTTTTGTAATTCTAAGTCAAAGTTGATTTTTTTTTAATTAAATAAATACTAAAGGCAAATAACGTAACTGACTGCTTACCTTCTAAATTAATATCCATAGTCTCCTTAATATTAAAAATAATAAAAAACTTAAAATGACAAAGTGCCTCTTATAGAATAAATTTTACACTAATCTTTCAATTAACGCACAAAATTATTTTTCGTTTTCTTTATCTCTGTTTCTTTGGAATTCGTAAACAATAAAAAAAGAACATTCTATTTTTATTATCAGCAGACATTCCTCTAAAGATAGGTGTATTTACAAACCCAAAAATAAATACATGCATTTTTGAATTATGTCCATTGAGCGCACCAGTGTGCACTGTTGCCACTAACGCATAAATTAACAGAAAAAGTGTAAATTTACAGAAAATCTGTAAATTTACAGAAAAAGTGTAAATTTTGCTAAAAATATTTTTCAATGTTGCGATGGCAGCTCTACGCTTTCGTAGGGTCTAGTGTTAAGTGTTGGGATTTTATTTATAAAACGCGTGTATGTGACATAAAACACATTCCTAACTTTCTCACTTTACCAAAAGGGGATAAATTGGTCGTAATTTTATGAATTGGCACTTTAGCAACGCTTTATTATTCGCCGAAAAACCATATTTACTTTGGATTGTTTAATAACGATTTAGTGCTGAATGCTAATGAGTGTGTTATAAGTAATATGTTGAAACAATCTATTTGATTGTCCGCAGAAATTATATAATGTCAATAAGTGGTATTTATTTACCAAAAAAAAGTCTTACATAAATTATAAGAAATAATTAAATTTGTGTCGTCTATCTTAAATAAATATATTATGTCCTTATACAACTTGTACCGTCTTGGAAACCTACCAAAAAAAGCAAAAAATATTTGAAGGACAGTAAAAACTACACACGTACATCGTGCCATCTTTCGTGGGGAGATTCCTCGCGTTTTTTATAAAATATCATCATTGGTCCGATTCTGCTTTGTTTCGTAGCTACAAGGTGTTAAAGTCTTAATATTCTTTCGATTTATTATAATTTTCTTCCAAGTACTTTTAGTGGTTCAAATGAAATTTTGAGGGTAAAAGTTACTATAAGTGCTACATATTTTAACGTTAAAAAAGTGGAAATAAATTCACCAGGGACGTGCATATGGGTTATCAGTGGAATATTAAAAAAAAACATGTGCCGCCACTGACTTTTTTTCTTTTAATATATTAAATTGTGTAGGCCGTTTAATGCCAATTAAAATCTATCTCTTGATATTTTGTCGATTTCGGCCTTCTTGATGATATAAACGCTATTTTATTAATCACATTTAATAAAATTAAAATAAAAATAAAATTAATAAATCATATATGTGACCTAATTTATTATTAAATATTATTACTATTAGTCCAACCTACAGCAATTTCAAATAAAAAAATAATGGTATTTAAGATAATTAAAAAACCTAATTTTAAAAAGTTTTAACATCCTGTTATGCATTGCATTTCTATTATACTATGCATTTCTATGCCCATATTTATAGGAACTTTTTTCATATTTTTTGATGAGGAATCAATGAGTACTTATTTAAAACTTTCGCAAGTTAATGATAATAATGATATTTTTTTTAAATTTTGCTATTACACTTGGATTAAGGCAAATTAATAAAATTACGTTTATCTCATCAAGTAGGCCGAAATCCGAAATCGACAAAATATCAAGACAACTTTTAATCAGCATTAAATGTTTACACTATTTCGCTAACAAGAGAAAAAAACCAGTGGCGTACATGCTTTTTTTTCGAAAAATATTCCAATGATAACACATATTTATGCACGTCCTTGGTGAATAATTCGACATTTTTTAGCATTCAGATATGTCACATTTACACTTGGAAGAAAATTACAATAAGTTGAAAAACTATTAAGACTTTAACACCCTGTAGCTACGAAACAAAGCAGAACATAGACTTAAAATAAAATATAGACTGAGCATCTCATTCATAAATAGCTGGAACATGCGGTCAGACAATGTCTTGTTATTGTTGTGTTATTGTTTTAGGTTATAAAGAGTGCGACACGAGCGATAGATAGGTTGTCTCTGTCGTAACGGTCGTTCCCTGACGACTCTGCCGAGAAACACAACACTGTCTTTCGTTTTTCAAGTACACCTGAACTCTCCGTCTCATAGCCGGGTAATTTTTTTATTTTAATGAAGCTATAATTAAATTAAAAATATATCGTATTTAAACTTTTTTATATTTTATTAAGATTTAGGACAGGTTTTTTAAATATAAGTTTAGAAAAAATGTCTTAGAGTCCAAAAAGGATAAAAATAATAAAATACACGTTATAGAAGAAATTTTATAATTGAAATTACGTAATTTTTGATATTAATAATAAATTAT